CGAGAGAGGGAACACAAGCAGGGGGAGTGGGAGTGGGAGAAGCAGACTTCCCGCTGAGCAGGGAGCCCGATGCGGGGCTCGATCCCAGGACCCTGGGATAATGACCTGAGCCGAAGGCAGATGCTTAACCGACTGACCCACCCAGGCACCCCCCAATAAATAAATCTTAAAAAAAAAATAACTGACTTTCTAAACTTACCCTACTGGTGGAGTGAACTTGAAGTGAACTCAGGTTTACCTATGAAGATTCAACCACAAATAGCCTGTCCAAGATCTCCTTCTCTTTCTAGGGCCAAAGAAAAAGACATGTAGAAACATCACTGCACGACTGCTTTTTCTTAGGATTTCTTTAGGTTTGAGTCCCCTTGCTATTCAAAGGGACGTGGGTCCTCAGACTAGCAGTGGTACAATCCAGTGCTTATTGGAACTGGGCAATCTCAGGCCCTTCCCCAGACCTCCCGTGTTAGAATCCACGTGTGAAAGTCTGAGAAAAGTGGGGGGAAAGAGCACAGGAATCCCCCAAACTCTGTTAATGCTCCTTCTTCTTAATCAGACACCATCAGAAGGTAGCTCTCTCCTCAAATGTTTACCCTCAACCCTTTTTTGGCAAGTCATTTCCACACCCAATGTGGGGCTTGGACTCACGACCCCAAGATAAGAGTCACACGCTCTACTGACCAAACCAGCCAGGTGCCCCAATCCTCAACTCTCTTAATGCATGCCCTTAAGTTAAAATGAGTATCGCCCAACATCATGTACCTGAAAATTAAAAGCTAATACTTTGAAAGGATGGCTCTCCGTCTGGAGCCTCAACTTCACCTAGACTGGAGGTTGAAATCTTACATGCCTCTAAGAGCCAAGCAGGTCTTAAAAATGAGTAAAACACTCAGATAACGGCCACCGACCCCTGTCCTTGGGGTCGAGGAGGTAAGAGAGTGGTGGGGGCTATGGCAAATTTCAGAGCTCGCCTTCCATCTGAAGACAACAGCAGCCACTCGGCTCTGCCGCCGAGTGTTGCCCAACAGGAATGCAGGCTCGATGTTGCCAGATCTTCCGATATTTCAAAAGAAGCTGAAAGTCTGGGTTTTTAAAACATGTGAAATCTCTCAATTTTTAAATGCTGGCAATTCACTTAAAATTTTAAAAGAACACCTCTGTGTGCCAGATTCAGCCCACCAGTTTGAGACCTTGGCTCTAGACTGATGATTTCCAAATTCTTTAAGCTTGTGTAACCCATCTGTGCTGGTTTTCATGCTTACTTGCTGGTCACCAAGAAGAGAGGTCACGTCAATATAAATGGTACAAACCAAACCACTACGACTACTGTATTTTAAATTCTACATTTTAATATTACAAATTATATTTTAAATATTACAAACTGCCAAATCAATAATGAAAGTGACCATATGTCAGTGATACAAATATTTCCTAGATGTGAAATACATGTTTAATTCATTCACTACATTGTCACTACTACAGAAACAAATACATAGAATACCCAGCTCATGGGTGTGTTAACAATTATGTTGGGTTCGGGGCGCCTGGCTGGCTCAGGCAGAGGAGTATGCGACTCTTGATCTTGTGGTTGTGAGTTCGAGCCCCACGCTGGGTGCAGAGATGACTTCAACGAACCAACGAATGAATGAATCAATGAATCAACAAACGAATAAGTAAATAAATAAAAAGTTTAAAAAAAAAAGAATTATGTTGGGTTTAAGTTTTCATTCCAAGTAATTCCATAATTAAAAGGTGGCCAAATGAAATAATTTCAAATTCTTGAATGATTAAGTTGACCTGTGACAAATGCTGTATTAAACATAAGCTGGGACCCATTATTATTTAAAAAACAAAATACCCTCAACGTGAAAACTGCAAAACCCCCATTTTCTTAAACCATTCAATTGTTCCGAGCAAACTTAAACAATGTGGTGTGAATACGCAATTTATATTTGCTTTCATTTTGGGGGCATTTGGGTTCCAGGCACAGCTGTGTCCCCAGCACTGTGCTCGCAGACTTCATTATTTGCACATGCCTCGCCGGAGGTGGCATAAATCACAGGCTCAGAGAGCAGACTGGCGACAGGGACTTTGATCTGCCCCCTTGAACCCATCCGGGCCTACTCAATATTGGGCAATTTAATTAAAAAGGAAAATCAACTTTCGGCTTCCCCATCTGCAAACAGGAAAAGCATCAAGGGATGGCCTATACTTGAAGAGTGTGAGACCAAACTGTAGTATTCTTTGTCTTTGGCCCACTTGCAGGGGATCTTGCAGGGACAGTGCACACCTTGGCTCCCTGCACCCCGGACAGCTGACTGGGTCGGCCCGACCCGCTCACATGGGCCTACGCTCCGGGCCTAGTACTCAGTAGGGCTGGGGGGATGAACCAATCAGGACGAGGAGTGAAGGAAGGTCACAAGATAGAGCTGCATCGTGACCACTGCACTGCTTCCCGTCAGGCCTATAGATTCCTGCCACAGGGAAATGGCATGCAACAGATTCCATCGAATCACCGGAGAAACTCACTGCTCTAAAAGGAAACCCACAGATGCTAAGTTTTGGTTAAATTAAAGATGTCACAGGGGTGGTTTAGTACCACAAAAGCGCTTCGAGTATGTACTCAAAGGCCTCCAGTGAAAAGGTTTCCTTCTGAGAACACGCACAGGTTCTGTGGAAGCTTTCTACTGATGAAGTGTGTCTGTCGGAGTTGTAGAGGGCCAACGAAGTCGATGGGCTGTGCCCTTCTGTGGCCCTTCTTAAACAATCTAGTCTCTGTTGCTGCGGGAAAAGAGAGGCAAGGGCTGTTGGTGGGGGGCGGGGGGGCACAGAGCTGCACCGTCTGCTCCTCAGACAGAGAGCACCGTGCTCCCGGCTGCCCTCGGGCTCCTCGGAGGACGGTGAGAGTCACGGTTCTGCTCTGGTGTTCTCTACTGGGAGAAGGCCTAAGATTTTATTTGAAGACCGGTTTCTATCATTGTAAAAGAGAAAGTTTGAAAACTACCGTTTTAGGTAAAGGCTACAGACGACAGCCACGGCAGGGCCGAGACCCTCGGAGGGCAGAGTCGAGAACGTTCGTGGCTAAGAAGCTGCCGACGCTTTTGTCTTTCGGCCAGTTGGAAGCCCCGGGCCCTGGGAAGATCTTCCAGCTTCCATGTAATTGAGGAAACTGACAAAAATCAGATTAAACGGTCCTAAAAATCTGTCCTATGTTTTTTATCCTTTAAGGTATGAATATATATATATAGTTCAAAACGTGTGAAGAATTCTACAGCAAGTCGGTGTCAGGGAAACAACGGCCAGCTCGCGAGCCTCTACCCTCACCGAAATCAACGACCCACATCGAACATGAGACTGAGCATGGGGGGCGGGGAGGCAAAACCAAAAATGCAGCAAGCCTTGGATGGATGAAAAGTGCAAATCCTGAGTAGTCTGGCACTGGCACATGTCTCCTCCTCTCCGGCAAACGTGTGGGGGAGGCTGGGGCCCAGAAAGCAGAAAGCCCGGGGCCCCGGACGCTGGGCCTGGATGAACCATCTTTGAGATTTGCAAAGGCGAATGCCCCGCCTCTCCGGGAGAGCACAGTAACCCTGAATCATCCCAGAGTTCGACGTCAGCCCTGTGGCTAAACGAAGACGACCGAGGACGTTTGCTAAGTGAAAGGGTTGCCCAGCGCTCTGAACCTCAGTTCCGATCTGCAAACAACGTGCTGGCCCCCGCTGACATAACCCCACGGAAGCCCTCTCGGGCGTTCCTACCCCGGATCTTGCAGGACCAGCGCACACCTTGGCTCCTTGCACCCCGGACAGCTGAGTGGGTCGGCCCCACCCTTTCACGTGGTCGCCTGGGCAGCAATCTCCTCCCTCGATGCCACTACCGCTCCGCGGAGCTTTCCTGCTCCCTACTGTCCACGCTGGGGCACGAGCACCTCTTGATTCTCAGGCAGACCTTCTAACAGCTCTCCTGTGCTTGGCACATTCACTTTCCGTGCCCCCCAATTAAAAGCAAGTGAGATTTTTTTCCCCCCCTCGAAAAGACCTTCCCCAGAGAGCTAATATGTAGGACAAGCAGGGATATTGGTTGGATCAATTAAAATGAATCCTCTTCAGTCTACTATACAAATAAAGCTTTTTTTTTTTACACCGTCGACCCCAACATCACGAAGTTCAGTGTTCGAATTTGTGACAATCAGTGAAACTTACCTCACGCTGGACGTGTGGAGACTGGAATGTAGTCAGCAAGGTCTGGACACAGTGGACAACTTCCAATGCGCCTAAGTCAGGAAAAAATGAGAAGCAAGACGCAAAATTACCTTTTCAGAAGAAAAGTTAAGAAATTCTAAAAAAAAACCCAAACCAAACCAAAACACCCCAAAATCTACTTCCTTTGAAATGCCTCACAGTTAACACCTTCTACTTTGTATTTACAACCCTCAAAGTTAAACTGCCAAGACGTTCCGCATATTTCCCCACTGTCTGTTTATCATCTAACATTCGCACCAGGCGGTGGAGCTGGCCCCCTCATTATCAGGCTGTATTAGCTCAAACACTCAGCATTGTTAGCACAGTGAGCTCATGGCCTATTTCAGTTTTAAATTAACATTTGGCAATCACCCGGGTAATCAAAACAAATGACTCAGTCGTTTAGAATAGACTTATTAGTTGAGCCTTTTTTTCCCCCTCTTTTAACATCTTTAGAATATTTTGCCACAGGAGGGCTCGGATCCAGGCAGAATGTAGAGCACAAGTCACCAGAGGAATATTTAGAGGTGTTGCCATGGAGACGAGGTGCCGCGTGACCACTGAAGTTATCTCCAATCAACAATGGCATTAGGATGCGGGCAGGCGAGCAGGCTCATCCCTGCGGGGGGCGGAGGGCTCGCATCACTAGGAAACAGGTGTGCCCTGTGCTTTTCCCGTCACCCAAGCGAAGACAGTCCCCTGACATGCCGCCCTCTCCAGAGGCACCTCGCTGCCTTACCCCCGCCCCCCACCCCATTCAGAAGGGCCGGCTGGGGCTAAGGCAAAAGGAGGTGTGTGATATCCTGAAACACAGACCAAGAGCACCTTTACATCAACTGTGAAATGGACATGACCAAATGAGATCTGAGGAAAAGATGGCTCCCTGAGAGTAGGGCCCCCCATCTGTTCTGTTCCCTGCTCTATCTCCATGCCTGGAACAGTGTCTGATGGACACACAGGAGACTCTCAGAAAGCATCTGTGGAGCGGTGTCTGGGTGGTGCAGTCGGCTAAGCCTCTGATTCTTGGTTTTGGCTTGGGTTGTGAGATCGAGATGGGGGGGGGGGAGCCTGACTGATGCGGGGCTGTCTCTCCCTCTCCCTCTGCTCCTCCCCCTGCACTCTCTCTCTAAAATAAATAAATAAGTTTTGTTTTTTTTAGAAAGAAGTATCTATGGAACGAGGCAGGGCAAACAAACCATGGATTATAACCAGGCTCATGAATGCCCACCTCCCGCCCCCAACCAACCATTTCTGGGTTGCTCACCCAACAAGCAGGGGTTAGAGAGTTTTAAAAGCGTTCAGTGTACTGGAAAAGAAGTAGCTGGTCCAGTTAGTTTAATAGGCCGACGGGTTCATCTGTGTGGAGATCTTAATGACAAGTGTCACATTGAAGACAACTCTTCCCCACTCAGGACCGACAAGGGTGCTGACTACAGGAACAGGTTCTTGTCTCCCAGGTCAAAAGCCCAGAGGAAGGCAATCTGCGCCAAGCGGCCAAGAGCTAGTTTTCAAAAGCAAATGTCTGAAAGGGACGGACTTCAAAGAAACAACTTCTAGTCCCCTTCCCACCTCTATTTACCTAGAGCTGGCATTTTCACATTCTGTCATATGAATATGTGTTACTTGTTTCAGGTTGTGTGTCGTCCGTCCTACGGACCCTGAAGTGTCTCTGTCTTGGGGGCAGGCCCAGAAACCCCACCTCTCTTTCCTGACCCTACTTAGCAGGGCACGGAAACATCTACAGAAAAGGCTTCGCCTCGTCTCCTTTCCCACTACCCACAACCCATTTGCACGGAACTCACTGTTTCTAGAAGGTGCCACACCCTTTCATGCAACTGGGGTGCGAGTGCAGCATGGCACAGCTGTTCAGACGAGGGTGCCAGAGTCAGACTGCCTGGGCTCAAATACCGGCCCTGCTTCATATCCACTGTACAACCTCTGAGCCTCATAATGGGAAGCTATCTCACAGAGCAGCTGTTAGGCAGGAGGGCAGCGCCTCACCCGGACGGGGCACTCACTGAACAGGAGACAGGCCATGATCACCCCCAGGATCACAGGCACACCCTAAAAATGGTATCAAACTTGGGGCGCCTGGGTGGCTCAGTCGTTAAGCGTCTGCCTTCGGCTCAGGTCATGATCCCGGGGTCCTGGAATCGAGCCCTGCATTGGGCTCCCTGCTCCGCAGGGGGCCTGCTTCTCCCTCTCCCGCTCCCCCTGCTTGTGTTCCCTCTCTAGCTGTCTCTCTCTTCAAATAAATAAAATCTTAAAAAAAATAAAAATGGTATCCAATTCGGATAACGATTTCAGGCGCTGCCACAAACACTTGGCACCAAATACGCCCCTGTTCACATTCAACCCAACGTAAACTTCGAACCCGAATCCATCCCACACTAGCCTTAATACACTATTTCATTCTACTCCCCCTTCCGGAATGGATTTTTCCTGGAGATGGGATTCGATACACACTGGGCTCTACCCGAGGGAATCGGTTCTGAGCTTAAAGAAGCGGAAGAGCTTCTGCCCTAACAGCCCTGCCAGGACCTTTCCTGCCTTCTCGGTCTGCTCCCCAACCTCCCACAAGTTCAGGCTCTGAGAGGTGGGCGGGGGAGGGGCAAAAGACCGGTCTTCTAGCAACCACACCAAGACCCCGGTTCTCCTTTTCGTAGGGAATCCTTGCATGTCATGTCCCCACACACCCTCCAGAGGGCAGAAGAGAGAAAGGCCCAAAGGCTGAGCAGGCAGAGTTCTCACACTGGGGTCCCCCTTGGGCCTCCCCCCCTCCGCCCCCGAGTTAGCAGAGCCACAGTTCGTGCTTTCCCTATCAAGCACTAGACCGCCAAGGGCAATAACAACGTGCACTGAGATTTCACCAGCATCTGTATCTCCGCCTCACTTTACTGCTGGGGCTAGTGTGGCCCACTGAACATGGGAGTCGGGGCGGGGAGGCTGAAGACACTCGTGGCAGGTGGGAGTTGGGTACCCCTCCTGACCCGCGGTGTGTGACCGTGCCTCTGAACAGACATCATACAAATTGTGTTGACGACTGTGCACAAGTCAAAGAATAAAAACCCAACAGCAGCCAAACACACTGGGTAAAATGTGATGACAGCAAAGTCAAACCCAAACACTTTAGGGTTAGTCATGCTTTAAAATAAATCGTGTTCCTCTCATCCCACCCTGACAAGATTAGTAAGTGAAATTAGGCAAACCATTTATATGATTCCAGAAGAAGCCAGCAGCTATGTTCTGGTGACACTGAACATACGTAATCATTCTCCTTCGGGTTTAACAATAGTTTATCGGGGTCACAGACAGTGGTGACCCCATCGCTACTGACAGCCAAGCTTAAACGATCCCCAAATCACCAGGCAACTGGGTGAATTACGTGGAAAAAGAAAATCCAGAGCCAGCAGCTGTTTGAATGAACCTAAAAGACCAGTTGAATCAATCAAAACGGGTGAGCCCCATAGATTCATTGTCTCCTCTAAATTCTCTGAAATGTGATTGTCATGGTAACCATTCCTTAATCATGCTCTTCAGACTATTCTCTCGTACCTAAGAAACCAAAGAGCGGTGAACCCCAAACGTCTTCATCGGGTACACTTAGCATGGCAACGGGCAGCTCAGACGTCTCATTTTTCCTACCTTTATTCAGGTGCTCACACTACTACGGCAGTCAGAAACACTGGCAATGTTAATGTGTTAACATTAATGTTATTAATCGCCTTTAATAATGACAGCAGAGGGGTGCCTGGGTGGCTCAGTCGTTAAGCGTCTGCCTTCGGCTCAGGTCACGATCCCAGGGTCCTGGGATCGAGCCCCGCGTCGGGTTCCCTGCTCCGCGGGAAGCCTGCTTCTCCCACTCCCACTCCCCCTGCTTGTGTTCCCTCTCTCGCTGTCTCTCTCTCTCTGTCAAATAAATAAATAAATGAAATCTTAAAAAAAAAATGTTACCATAAATGCAATAAATACAAATGAGCTGGCCACGGGCTCGTTTCCTTTAGCAGAAGAACTGATAAACTGGCTCTCATTCAGCAAAATAATTTATTGGTAAAAATAAACACAGAAGAAAGATGCCTCATTTCTGGTAATTTCAACATAATCAAGATCTGTAACATCATCAGATCTTTAACAACATATTAACTTAATAAATAAACAAAAACCGAAAGGATATTACATTACAGAAATGCAATAAAACCTAATTTTGTGTTTTTATATTAGGATTTAGTATAGAGTATATCACAAAACATACTCTGGAAGATCATTTATTTACTCCACACAAGTTTCTAATCGTCATTTTATATGATATAACCATAATATTCTTCACAATTTTTTCTTTGTTTTACTTATCAATTTATTTTGAAGATCACTCCATATTGGTATATACAGAGCTGCCTCATTTTTAAATGGCTGTCTGGTAGTCCATTGTAGGGGAGTACTATTGTAACTTTATTATTTTTTTATTTTATTTATTTATTTTTTTAAAAAGATTTTATTTATTTATTCGACAGAGAGAGACATAGCGAAAGAGGGAACACAAGCAGGGGGAGTAGGAGAGGGAGAAGCAGGCTTCCCCGCGGTGCGGGGAGCCCGATGTGGGGCTCGATCCCAGGACCCTGGGATCACGACCTGAGCCGAAGGCAGTCGCCTAACGACTGAGCCACCCAGGCGCCCCTATTTTTTTTATGTTTTTAACTATGTCTAGCTGGGTTTTTTTTATAGAGAGAGGGAGAGTGAGGGAATGGTGGTAGAATGAGGGAGAGAGAGAATCCTAAGCAGGTTCCACGCCACGGGACTCAATCTCACGACCCTGAGAGATCATGACCTGAGCCGTAATCAAAGAGTCAGATGCTTAACCAACCGAGACACCCAGGTGCCCCACTTTATTCTTATTTCTATTAATTTATTTTTATTTTCTGAGTCTAGTTGACACACAATGTTACACTAGCTTCACGTGTACAACACAGTGATTCAACAAGTCTACACGTTAGGCTGGGCTCACCATTATTCTTCACAATTTGGAAAGAGAAAG